CCATGAACAAAGCAGAAAAGGTGCTGGTCGTTTGAGGAGAGCTTGTTTCTTATTGTCGCAAATGCGCCTGTATACTTACCTAAGTTATCCACAACACCGTGTGATTTCGTTACAGCATTCATTGTACCGATCTATATAAACATTGTCGTATAATTTTAGTCACTCGTTTTAAACCGATTGGATTCTAACGTACCGGTATGCCTTTTCATGGACAAACCAGAGAAAGCACTGGCGTTGAAAAGAGCTTGAAATAAGCGCGAGAAGATAAATCTTTAATCGGGCAATTTGAGCTGTTATTGTCTGCTTGAAATAGGTTTATGACGACCACGCGTAATGTATATTTAGATGCCTCAGCGATCACTCGGTCAAGCATTGGTATCAATTGCGGGAAACGACATTTTTATTTAATCACCCGTTTTGCAAAATTTCAACTTAACCTGAAATCGGAGTATGTCGAATTCAATTTACCACCAAGCACTTCGCTTCATGTTAGAATATGCTTCGTATGACAGAACAAAGCGTAAAAATAGTGACAATAGTATGTTTCACTGGCGTTCCTTCCACCTTCATTTTACAAAATTCTCGATACAAGCAATCAATGTTATGTAAAGAGATTCTACTTTTGAAGAGAACAGAATCTTTCCTGCCCGACCTTATCTATTTGGTTATGTAAATAAGACTCTTGATCGACGACAATGTTGAAGGATAGGAAAGTGTGTTCAAGCCATAGTTGGTTGGTCATATATTGCGAAATTATTAGTCCATTCATTTTACCGTTTATACACTCTCAGAGTGTTCATAAAGTCCCTTTACAATTCCAATTTTGTTATGAAGTCAGTTCTCAATATATCTTAACCAGGTTTGTTTTATTTTTGACAGTGTTTATTCAAGTTTTTATACTATATATGGGCCAACGAACTATAATATATAATATCGTTATACTCCCTTTCAATTCAATTTTTTTTTTATAAATTTATAAACGCCCTGTATTTCATCACTTTCATCTTTTTATTCAATATCAGAGCCATATCCTGCGAAATTTTATTAGCGTTAATTTCCAGGTCGCAGAATAATTTTACTAAAGAATTGAAAAACGAGCTGCGTCAGACGCTTAGCATATGTTGCTATCGAAAGGCCGGAAAGACCTGTGAAAGGAATCAGTAAATTTGACTGTTATTTACGTGTAAATTTGATCGATTAGTGGAAATAATTTTATTCGTTTTTTTGTGATGTGACAGACAGGAAAATGTATCGCGTATAGTTCATGGCTATGGAATCACGTTAAGCGTTTCATTTGTATTGAATAGATGGCTTGAATTAATTTTAGTTGATTTTCGTAATGATCGCCATATGGATAAGCCGTCTTATCGGCTTTCCTCTCCCACGGGATAAATATGTAAATCCTATTCCTATGACCTGGAAAATGTATCGTTATATTTAGCGAATAACTATGAAATTACGGTACATTTTTCATTTATATTGAATGTAAATTAACGCTGAGACGATCGCGATGCGGCTGTATTGACTGATAAATGATATATATAAATATAGTAAATCAATGTATTGTTCGTCTAACACAGTGGTCGGCAAACTGTCGACCGCGGGCCAATCATGGAACGCTGAGCATTTCTCAATAAATTTCAGTTATGGCAGTGAGTTATACACGAAAAAGTTCTATAAATTCAACATTACATATAAATTTTTTGCCAAATGCTTTTTGTTCTTATATCAAACGATCATACATTCAGTTCATTTCAACTAAACAAGGTAAATGTCTTTTAGCAAGTTTATTACGTGGTTAAATCTGAAATTTCTAAGGAATTGTTGGCCCTTGAAACCTTTTCCATTTTACTATTTGCGCCTTACTTTAAAAACCTTGCCGACCACTGGCTAACACTAATATATAGGATGATATACAAAGTTAGAATTGCATCGGGTCTCTATGAACACCCTGTATTTATGCGGCTTTTCTGACCAATTTTATGCTTCTTCAGACAAAGTTAAATTTAAACCGTAGAAGAATAACAAGTATTCAGATCAGTGAAACTCAAACGAAGAGCATAATAGAGATTTGTAGATTCGATGATATTATTGTCATAGGATAAATTCACAATATCATTTTTAAAAAAGTCTACTTTGTTTTTGTATTGTGGATTTACGGAATAAAACGGCTCAACGATTTGGACTTGGCTTCTATTACGGCGAATTAAAAACGAACCATAATGGTTCCCTTCTCCACACTTAGTTCCCTAGCATGCATTCGTTTTATATTTAGTAATTGAATCAAAATTTTGATATAAATGTGAAATGCTATTTGACGATATTATTGTCATCCATTTTTTTTATTCACGTGTGTACACGACGAAGCCTTCTTCCTTAGCATGTAAATGTTTTATATATTTTGGAATATATTACGAATTTGGATAAACGTGTAATAAGGCATTCTCTAATTCATTTAATAACCTATTTCGCAGCCGAATTTCTAGTTTACCTTATTTGCATTGCATCCAACTCAATGTTCATCAATTTGTATAACATTGAACATGTAAATAATAAAACATATAGATACGTATACGTCTTAACCAGCATTTTAAATGTCTGGATACAAACTTCATCAGGGCAATGAATGAACCTTTGACTTTTGTATAGGACGATTTGCAACGCCGACGAAACAACAACGATCGCTCCTTTTTTTTTATAGATTTTAGTGCCGGAATGAAATATGAATTATTTTTTTATTTTATTTTTCGAATTAGATCATGATTATTTATCATTTATTTGAATTTCCAGGTCTTTGAATATAATGCTTCAATTACCTCCAGTTGAAAAAGTCATATTACACAGAAAAGTTATAAAATCACTCTCTCGCTCGCGCCTCACTTAGTTGTGCATGTTTCACCGGTAGCAATCACGTATCAATTTAATTCCACGCGCAAAACTTGTTACTTTTCCCTGATTTTGACACTTCAAATGCATATATAAATACACACAACAATGACAAAGAAAAGGAAATAATTGTTTGCATATACATACGATACTTTGGCAAAAATTTATCGTTTGCACTTCACCAGTTCCGCATGCTTACTATGGATAAGCATGAAAGTTATTTCACGCTATTGAACGTGTGAATTTAATTTATTACACGCGCAAAAATTGGTATCCTTTTTCGTTTCGACGTTTCAAATACATATATAAATACACTTACGCATGATAAGGAATGGAAATTGAAGATTTGCATATACATACGATACGTTGGCAAAAATTTTTTGTTTGCCGTAAGCGTACAATGGAGCGTTTCAATTTAATTTGATTACACGCGCAAAAATTGGTATTCTTTTTCGTTTCGACGTTTTAAATGCAAATATAAATACAAACAATCATGGCAGAGAGTATGAATTAGAGATTTGCGTATACATACGATACGTTACGTTTGCAAAACTATACTGTGCATTCTTACTGTGGACAATTTATTACTCTCTCCAATTTAATAACACGCGCAGAACAGCATTTGCGCTTATTTTGATTAAATAAACATGCTTTGGCAATGTTGTTGGTTGCTTTGCGAAATTTCCTCAATTTATACTCGTTTAATCTCGGTTCATGCTTGGTACGTCGTGTAATTTCGAATTCACTCCAACTCTTGTAATTTTACACTAAACGGCATTGGCTTCCTTCCCTAATTATTACACCACACTTACTGTTGATAATTTGGCGCGATAAGTTTCGTCGCCTTTGGCATGGAGTGTAATTAATTATTTCATTTTACAAACTAGAATTGATGCTATTAGGTTGCGCTTTGATTGAAAAATAATAGACATTTATGCAACATAATGTTGTGAAAACTTGAATGAAGCAAAGTCTCACTGGTCGTGAGAGATCTTTTGCACCAAACTTGTTTTGTAATGCAAAAATTTGAGATTTGAGAAAAACACTCCTGACATGTTTTAAAATATCAAATTAGTAATTATTTAGTTCGAGTTAGGAATCATTTGATAACTTGAATTTTCAGCGCAATCTGCATTTCTAACCCTAACCGGATAATTACCATTTTTTTTGGGGTGGGGTGGGGGGGAAGGGGGGCTTTGTGCAAAAGATTCTTTAGTTGATAACAGCCAAGTTATCCCATTTGACTGGAGTAACTTTTGAGGTAAATGGTCAATGACTCATTGGCACAACAAATGCCCGATACATATATTTTATTTTTTCATAGTAATCTAAAATTATACAATAGTAGACCAACTGTATGAGAAGCAAAACAATTTTTATAACGCTTTATTAATAGAATTGTGCGTCTTCGCTTATACTTCAATATTGTGTAGTCCGTATATGGTATTGAAACATGGCTTCCAGATGTATATGTTGAAATATTACTGGAATTACTTGATCACAATGCGCGGCGTTTTCTTTTTGCTATTTTTAGAGTAAATAGCCCCCCCATATAACAAGTTTCACGAATGATTGTACTGCTCTTGTGTTGAAATTATCAGTCAAATTCAATGATGTGATTGATTCTTTGAATTTTAATATTGATAATAATTAAATGTTCTTAAAGCAAGGTTCTGGGGCAACAATTAAAATTTGAAACAGTACTAATAAAACAGTTACAAGCTACCTCAGAAGCACTTTATATAGTTTTATCTTTGTGACCGAAATATCAGTATAACCCGTTAACTCAATTTAATACTGCCAGAGAAATACAGGTAGTTCATAAAGTTCCTTTACAATTTCAATTTTGTTATGAGGTCAGTTCTCATTATACCTTATATAATATATCAATATAACCAGGATTGTTGTTTTTAATTAGTAAGTATTTTTACTTCATTTAATACATCTGTGAGGGCGAAAACAATATATGGTGTCGATAAATTCAAAAGATTTATGGACACCCTATAACCTATACTACCAGAATCGACCATACTTTGCAATCTTCTATAATTTGTAACATAAATGAATACCAATTGAAGATTTTCTTTTGTTTTATTAATCAATTTTCTTTTTAGGAATAGCACCAAGATTCGCAAGAGCTGCTGGTGAAACATGGCAAGAAAAGCCTGCTGTTCAACCAGTGCTCCCTCTGCAATCAAAACGTCCTATGCCTCCAGCTACTATACCTGGGACAAGTAAACAATCTTCAAAAGGGAACACTGTGAATCAAGGATGGTCGCCAGGCAGTCAGGGTAAAACAATTTTTTTTAGTTTTGCGTTTTACTCCCTATAAGAATCCACTGATCATAGGAAGCTACTATTTATTGAAATTTTTTTGGATTTACGTTTCTACATATCCTATATCCTATTTGATAAGACGGCCCAATCGTATGGCAAACTAAGACCTATTGTCCGGTTACCAGTTCATGGTATTAGTTAGCCAGTTAATTTGTTTCACATGCATGGACTTGATGGTGGAGGAAGCTGTAACCGACCGGTCTACAGTGGCGACGGGGAGTCTAGCAATCCTCTCGCACATAATTATCCCCCGCAGGTTTCAACTTCAAACACACACAGGGTAATCAGAGGTATCGTGTCGAGCATATTCCTAATGCTCAGCACGATGCGCCACACCGTCGAGCCTAGAAGTACCGGTGAAGAGGTGATATAGGGCTTAATACAGAGGGAGAGGCTCCCGAAGTATGCGAACCAAGATGGCGGACATCGGAATGTAATATGTGTACTAGGTTAGGGTTAGGCCATAATTTTAGGTATAAATACTACGGGAGGCTCTTGGCTAGTCTTCGAACTGATAATAGGACTAAAATAAGGAAAATTGGAAAAAAATTATCGCCTAACCCTAACCTGTTACCCATGTTACGTTCCGATGTCCGCCATCTTGGTTCGCATACTTCGGGAGCACAGAAAGGGGAATGGTCGACGATAATTTGGCATGTTCCTGTTCAGACTACTATCATAAAATTAACATTCTGTTTTGTTTGGTCTAAAAATATAGAATTCATTTTATCTATTGCGAGATTGTGTTATGAACTATTCATGACATTGAGAATCTTGAAATCACTAAAATAATAACTTTTCTTGGTACTGCAAATTTTTATTATACGTATAGAGGTCTCCTCAACTGATAGTTATTTTTGATATGTTTAAAAAAGTTTGTTATTTCATCTTGTTTTCCAGGTAAATCATATTGGCCTGGTGATATAGGAACAACATGGCCAAACTCAACTCAATCAGCAACAAGCATTACTAATGATTGTGAGTAGTCTGAATGTTTGTGTAAAATTTAAGCAAATTGAATTTGAGTTTGCTGGTATCTTTGGGAGATAGCTTCAAGTTTATCCTACCAATCTTGACCTAAATGCGACATAATAACATGTCAGTAATCATTGGTTTATTTTCCAACCATACTAAAAGCACACACACATCACATACAAATTGCAATAAATAATGCATTTCAGAATGATGGGGAAACCCTTGAGGGGACCACTGAAACGCATAGAGCTATTAGATTTCATGAAAACATGTATTTTTATAGATCCTGCACTTAGACAAAATGCTGTGCTTATTAGGACTTGCACAAGTTATCCAATAATTACCATTCTTATGAGGGTATACCATTATCTCATTTTTGAATAATTGAGGGTATGTAAGATATATTATCAAATTTTGGAGGAGAAAATTGCCCATCTTCGCCTACTTCATCTCCACTTAAATATCCATCTTCGGGCTGCCCGTTAGACTTCATTACCTTTTTCTTATCAGTATTTATTTGCGTGCCATGTGTGCTTCCGATTACCCCTCGAGATTATGTTTCAAGCAATGTTTCCCTCACTCAGTAATCAGTAACTTATTTTTTCACCATGCTGTAAATACGTACTCTACATACACAATCTAAAGAAAATATAAAAAATTGCATTCCAGGGTGAAAGGAAACGCCGAAAACCAACACTGGTTGTCGAGCGGCGGCGGCACCCTTCACTCAAAGTTTTAAAAATTCAATTTTATTATGTATTTTTCAGTAATTGGAATTTCATGGCCGCCAAGTGATACAACTAGTTCTCTACTTTCTATGACGACATCTGGTGGCAAAGGTTCCATGCCAGGATGGCCTCAAGGTGGCAGCACATGGCAAACAACAGGTATAATAATTTTAAATTTTTTTTTGCTTTTTCACAAAAACGATCTATTTGTATCTAAATTGAAATAATTTCATATTTTTGATCCTTGTTTCTCTGAGAAAATGAAGAAAGTGAATCTCTGGTCTGATCAGAATTTCTGATTCATACGCTCGCACTAAAGTTTGCCTAATAAATTATTTCTATTTTGAAAACAAAATTTTATTCTCAGCACCATGTAATAAATCAGGAGTGTGCAACCTTTTATTACAGTAGGGCCCGATACAAATAACTTTAAGAAACTTAGGCCGCACCTTTATTCAGTAGGCAGTAGTTTTAGTAGTTGCAGGCACAAAAAAGCATTGTAGCGTCATAGGCATAGATAATAAATTGGACTTGGGTATAGGGTTTGTAATGCAAAAGGATTGGAATTACTAGCATGTGCCACACGTCATTCAAAATTGACACTTCTCCGCGGGCCGCACAATTTTTCCTTGCGGGCCACATTTGGCCCGCAGGTTGCACACCCCTGTAGTAAATCATGTGCTATAATAAAAATTACAATACAACAATACAATATTGTACAATTCTACCATATTATTGATTTTAGTTTCATTTTATTAATTTTACGTTTTTATATATTTTCTTTCATTTTTTATTATTATTATTTTATTTTTCTTGCAAGACGAAATGCATACCTTGGAGCAATACAATAACATGAGAAAAACTTACCCCACCCCTTCACCCACTTCCTTGAGCCCCAACCTGGTCCAAGATCAATCCTCTTCCTCTACCCACTCCTCGTGCTCCGATGATGTTTTTACCCCCCACCCTACAGTTCATCGAACCCCCTACTTCGCCCATTCTCACCCGTTTCATAGCGAACCCACGTCCCTATTTCAGCAATATGGGTTTTCAACGAAAGGAATTTTTGGTTAGTTTTAGTTGTGGAAATTTTTGCGCTTGATGCTTTCTTGTGGATCTGATTTTCTATATATTGGTATTTTTCGTTGTATGTTGTATTTGTCAACTATAAGTCTTGTGTAGCTGGCGTAAAAATCACACTTTCTATCTATATGGCATATCAATATCCTTATGTGGAGGTCATTTAAACCGGTGTTATCAGCCTTTTTTATTTTGCGAATCGGTAAAATTCCGAAACTAATTTTGCAGACCTTCAAAATAACCCAAAATGTCAAAAACATGAAACATAATTAAAACAATGTAAGTGGGACAAAAGTATGCAATTCAAAAGAAGACTATTCAATTTAGTGAGAAATTTGCTTCTATCTTTTCATATAATGAGTGTTGAAAATGGTTCCAGTGAAGTTATTTAAAAATTACATGTTAAAAATATCAAACCGGAACCAATCAGTTCTGGACATCCCCACTCTGGAAATGCATGCATCGACTTGCTAAACTATGGTAAAAAACAAAAGACAAATTTACTCATAATGGCTTTCAGTGTGCACAGTAAATGTCTTCATGTCTGTTCATTTCAACGTATGTCTCTGTTGTATTTGTACGTCCGGCGAATGTCGACCTATTAATATCTTTCTACCTATCTATTTGGTTTGTGTTGTTTGCGTTGTGTAATCTTGGGTGTTTGCTTTCATAACTTAGTGATTTTTCTGCTGGTTTATTCAATAGAAACATGATTTGTTATTTAAATAATGCGACTCTACTCTGAGCAAGGTTTAATACAAGCAGAGTTATCAACTAAGAGTCATGATGGGCTAAAAATACTGAAATAAATAGTTCCCAGTATATTCACGGAAGTATGTGAGTCTACTCACAACATTTCTCTCTGGACAAGGCTTTATGCAAGCAAAGATTCCCAAAAAAAAATTGTCATGATGAGCGACTGAATAAAATACTTTAAAACAAAATGGCTGCCAAATTGTATTCATGGAATGTGATTCGTCTCACTGTGTCCGTATGTTGCACTTTGAATGCGGAAGCAAAATACATTAGCATGAATTCATTATGTCAACTGAAAAATGAGTCTAAAAAGAAGAATGCATTCCAACACAGGATGTCCTATGAAATTCTAACGTCTGAATGACCCTCATTTCCTTTGTAATTCTATTTCGTGCAATGTTGCATTTTCCATGAATATTAGTTGGATGGAAATTACTCTCTTTTCCTGTTAGGCATTTGCTCTTGTATGAGTAAAATTATTTTAATATACTGTAATTAGAATGATGTAAACGGATTTCAACACATTTTTACCTCGCAGGATACGTTGAAAGGGGCTTTCTAAGGGCATAACCTTGATGAACAGGTGACTAGGTGCTTGACTATTGGCTCTGTGCTATCAAAAAATGTACCGAATTTCACCGGCCACTTTTTGCTTTATTAATAAGTGCTTTCAGAGTCCATTACCTGAATGTGTGGATGTGCTACCAGGGCTAAACTTTTTATTTAAATAAAATTGAGTAATTTATCTCAGATATAGGTAGTGTTTGGAGCACAGTATTGTAAACAGTTTATCTTCAAACTGTCCTCTAGTTGCAATTCAGTGAAACTCGGAATAATAACAAAAATATGGGGAATATATTCGAATCTAGATACTGAAATATATATTCTTTTTGTGAAGTATTTTGCTCAAAAAATCAGCGTAAATTATGTACTTGAAAAAGTCCGATTTCATGCAAAAAAGCAAATGGTAATTGAAATCACCCTATACGATGAAACACGGATTTTGAAGTGTCCATTTTGTACTTTTTTGAAATGTTTCTTCCTATCTAAATAATATATTTTTATGTTATTGTGGGAGTGGGAACATCAGATGCTTTAACACAGATATATATAGAAGTTATTTTTTCCAAGCCTGTTCTGTACATATCTAAGAATCCTTCAACTGGATGAAGCCTCATATTCAAATTATTTTTATATAGGAACTGCTACTTCAACCAGTATGACCTGGGACATCCACACTGAAGATTGGGTTCATGTTAATAATGGGCAGAATGGAAGAACTTTAGATACGGTGAGTATTTCAAAGAGGTTTTGATTTTTTTGTAGCTTTTGATTGGTACATTCAAAAACTTTACAACCAATGATTGATTGGATTTGGATTGGTAAATTTAAAATTTTTAAATCCAAATATTTCAATGGACAGTGTTTCATTAAAAATTCTAAGGTTTTAGGGTTCATATTTTCTTTTATCACTTATGCGTAAAATTAAAAAAAAGGGCATATTTTAGAAATTTTAAATCAGAACCCATATGTATTCAAGTCCTATTCATTCGTACTTTTAGGCAAAAAAAACTTCACCCGATAAAGATAGCTTAGTTTGCTTGCTAACTAGTGTTTCTATTAGCTTTATTTTGACCCAAATGCATTGAAATCATGCCACTCCCGTTTTCACCAAAATGAGTTTCATTCTTTCTTGACCTGTAGTTGTTATATGAAGATGTAAGCTATTCTGTAATAAGATAAAGAAAAGCTTGATTCTTCATAAATAGACTGAAGGTTACAAACAACACCGAGATTTAGTGGCACTCCAGAAATGTGTCTACCAATAAAAAAAGGGTAATCGTAAAAAAATTATGCCCTAACCCTAACCTGGTACACACACTACAGGTGCACCCATTTAGTAATATGCTGAGATATAGTTCAACAGTGGAATGTGTCATGAATCCAAATTTTGTCGCAAATCAGAAAAATTGCCTGGCTTAAAAATTATGATCTCAACCCAGCGGTTCCCAAACTATGGGTCGCGACCCACTGGTGGGTCGCAAAAGGAATCTTAGTGGGTTGTGAAGATGTAGAAAGCTTTGATTAATTATACTGGTTATTAGGATCGGTAGCGACTAGAATACGCAAATCTTCAAAAAAACAAAAGAAATTAAATTGAATTTAAATTCTAATCTGGCAAAGTCTCCTTTTTACAATCTTCTCAAAGGAACAAAAATTTGCTACACAAAGAATAGATGTATGGTTTTTTTACGCATAGCAGTTTTGTACACTGTACAGCACTTCTTACCGTGTTTCCCCGAAAGACGGGATTTAGATTTATTTTCTTTTAAAAAATAATACTATGGTTTTTTTCTTGGAAGAGGTCTTTTGGGTTCTTTTATCAAAAATAAAATAACATTGTAGAAAATCACGAGATTTTTTATTAAACATTATATAAAAACCGACATTCGTTGTTTTTATTTGTATTTCCCATACAAAAATCAAGTGACAGATATCATAATTGTGATATCACACAATCTTGAATAGTGGTGTGATCTTCACCTTACTTCAGGTCATTGAACCTTTCTTCTCCCACACATTTTAAATTTATTTTAAGTGTATGGTTTAATTAAAATCATTTTATAAAATCAAAATTAGGTCTTATTTTCGAGAAAACATGATAGTTTTACCATGATTAGCCATTGCTGTGTTCTGTGTTATGTCATAAAAAGTTAAATGGGTCGCCATATGCTATGGCAATAAATAGTGGGTCGCAACTCTAAAAAGTTTGGGAACCACTGTCTTAACCAGTGGTTTGCAAAGTTGATTGACCAGGGGCCAAAATTAGAAGCGGGAGAATATTCGTGGGCCTGGATAGAGAAGCAAGGGTGCCTGTACGTATAACTAAGATACACCATTATAGTTGAATTGTTACGGATATACACATGCTTAAACTGTTATAATGACGTAACAATTGGCGGTATCTACAACGCAAAAAGGTAAAAACAAAAAGTATTAAACTATTTCACATAAGTTCGGCGGGCCATATTGAATCTGTATGTTGGCCCACGGGGCCATGGTTTGGGAACCATGTTTAGTTTAAGTTTGTTTGAACTTAATTATTGTAAATACATCAACTTTTTCTTTGAAGAAAAGAGGTTAAAATAAAACAACCAACTATCTCCTTCAAATACAATTGCACTCGTCTGTACCGCCTTCGTCATATTATTGTTCGAATCTTTGGCGTAGGTCGTGTGCAATTGAACTTTGTGGGAGAAACATTCAGCATCTTCACCGTGGCAATATCTTTGCGGGTTATGTTGGTTAATAATGGTTGAGGCTTAAATCGTAGGTTACACATCTTGAGTTTAAATTCTATGCGATCCTTCCAGAACATTGTACATGTCTTTGTAGAGAGCGAATTACAGAAATAAATAAGTGCCATAGATTTCTAGCCTGGCAAAACTACCAACCCAGTGTTTACCGGTAATCACAAGTGAATGATTTTAAATAGAATCTCATGCGGGATTAATCATGTGCGAGAGGATTTCTGGACTCCTCGCCTTAGTAGGGTGGTTCATGTAACCGTGATAACCGGACGAGAGGCCGTGGTTCGACATATAATTAAGCCGCATAATCGACTCTCCTCTTTCCAGGATAAATATGTAGATCCTGAGTTGTTAGCTAAGATGGAATGTCCGAATGAAGTTGTACAATATGAATTAATTTAAGCTAGGTATGATCAGTATAATTACTTTTATTTTATTTTGATTTGTTTCTTTTGACTCAAGGACTGAGCCTCAAGCAAAGCTTTCTAATTAATACTGCTCACTTGAAACTCAGGACCTGTTGTCAAATGGGAACACCTTCTTCTGGTTTAGGTAAAAGGGAACACTGAAAATTTGAGCTCAGTTATATATGTGCTGTCAGCTATAATATAGAGTGGGACATGTCTTTATTATCAGGTGTCAATTTGCATCATACAAGAGCATGTCAGTTAGTTTGTATAAAAACAAATCAACTCAAAATAACCGGTAATAGATATTTCAATATCCTTTTCATCAAAAAATCTTCATATCAGTGGTTTCCAACCTTTAATGGCTTGTGGCTCCTTTCCAGAGGCTTTCAGCGCTCATGGTCCCTGTTTATCATTCCAGTGTTATTTATAGTGTGATTATGATTGGTAGATTACAAATCCCATTATGTTCAAACAATTCATGCTCAACAGAGTGAAAACACCCTGTGAAATCACCTTATTGAGCAATTGAAACTAGGAAGAACAAGTTTTCTTGTCAAGTGTAAAGTAAAATCAGTTTTGCGCCTGGCATTATGGCCCCTCCAACTGCGCTGTGCTCACTTGTGGGGGCCAAGGGCTCCCGGTTGGGAACGGCTGCTTTATATTTTCACTGTAGAAAATTCCACCTTCCAACCATACTATGAGTTTTTCCCATGCCTACCACCTCCACTCATGGAGTAATAAATAACAATGCTGAACCAGAAATATTTCATACCTTACAAGCAATATTCCCTCTAATTTTTTGTAGTATGTGTGCGCAGAAATTTTGGTGTGTGCGCACTTTTTTGGAAATGACTAATATTTGTGCAAAACCAATTAAGAAATTTTGGCGTTCTAACCGGGTAATGGGTGGGCCAACAACAAACTTTCTCAACCTGCCAACCGAGAACATTGTTACATTACATTGAAATACGTCTGTGCGCAGTAAATCTGTGCGTGTGCGCAGCCTCTGGAAGCTGTGTGCGCGCGCACACGCGTACACTTTAGAGGGAACACTGCTTACAAGATAAAATAGCTTCTCACATATCAATGACTACTTATGTCGATGTCATACGATTGTTCAAATATTTCTTCTCTCTTTTCAGAATGCTGATTGGGCAAGTGGGGACTCGCCCATTCGTACTCAAACGACTGTGACAACGCAAAAGGTAGAAGAATGGACGCTCGAGCCAGAAGGTATATGAAAGCAGTATTATGAGAGAGATGATTGCTGGACTCCTCGTCGCTTTAGGGTGGTCCACATAATCGCCACCATCGAGTCCATGTATTCTAAACAAATAACTGGCTAACTAATCCCATACACAATGTGGACTGGTAACCGGACTAGAAGCTGTGGTCACCATATGATTGGGCTCTTGTCAGCATTCCTACACCTTTTTTCTGGATTAAAAAATCTAACCTATTCGATTTTATGTACCATTACCACTTCACAGCCGTCTAAACATTATTATTCCCCAAGGCAATGAAAATACTTAGTTACAAACAATTTTATTATAAATTGAATAAATTAACTTGGCCGAAATTTTCTAGTCACAATTAAATAATGCTTTCTCAAGAAACATGATAAATAATGGATAACAAAGCACTATAGCAACTTAAAGATATTAAAATTTGATATATTATGGAGAGTATTCAAATGAGACTAATTCACTGACATTGTTAATGCTATTGTCTTATGCAAATTAGTTGCGAGAGCTTTGTTATCCTTTTCCAGGTTTATGTAAATTTAAGTCTTGTGTCATTTGCATTTATTGATGAGTGACGCATAACCGTACCTCGATATATTGTTTCAATATTTATTGGTTTTTCTGTGGTCGCCTGAAACTTCACTCACAGATGAGTCAGTCGCCTTTACTTATGAATGAACACGTGTGGCCTTGATTTAATCATTTCTATTTTGAAACTTTAAACATCTTATCAGGTTTGACGGTTTGGGTGACTTTTGTTGTCATAATTTGATTGGGGCTATTTCACTAAATGCTGTTAAGTACTTCTAGTTGGCGTGGCGTAACCATTTTCGTATATGTCATTTCTTTATAACTTTTGGATGGCGTAGTCAGGTGGGAGTTGGGAATAACATATGCAAAATGTTTGTGCCTAGCCAACTAGAAGTACTTACGGCAATTAGTGAACATGCGCAATTTGATGCATATGAAGTAAATTTTATTTTTTTCCCAATATGCTATGATTTGTACTTTAGAAAGTTGATGATTCTTCAGTTTAAAAAGTTTTCTCTTCATTGTCTATTTTCTTCAACTCAACTTTAATATACATGTCGCAATGAATACAATATTTTCTTACTAGGTTTTCCGATAAATCCTCCTCAACTTGACCCCAATGACCCCTGGAACCTGGAAGTTATTGAAAATGAGGGAAACGGTGATTGGTCAGCTCCCGTATCTTCGTGGGATAATACTAATGAAGAATGGAAGGCTCCTGTTCCTGTTAAAACTACTCCATCATATATTGTAAGTTAGTGGTTTATTAGAAAGACTGGGGCAGTCGTTTTAAACATTTTATGGCTAGTGGCCCCATTCTGGATGGTCTTAGCGCTTATGGCCCCCCATTACAGTAGTATTTATAGTGTTATTTTGATTGGTAGATCCCAAATCCCATTATTTTAAAACAATCATGCTTCAAGTGAAAATACCCTGTGTAATAACCTTATCAAGCAATGAAACTAGGAAGAAAGGGGGTTTTCTCGTAGTGAAACGTAAAATCCGTTTTTGGCAATTCTTTCACACATAATATTACTCCATATGATAACTGGATGACGCAAAGTAATCAGCAATGCAAGCATGCTTCCAGATATGTTAACACGATTCAACAACCATTTAATTATCTTATCTATGTATTTTTATCTTTTTTATGTCTTATCTTTTATCTCTCTGTCAGTATGAATCAAGCGATGAAGAAAAATCGTCAGCGAAAATAATTTCATTTTCCCACCAACAAAATTCATCGAATATTGTAACCGGTTCTTCGTCACCTCAAGCCGCAATTGTCGGCGCTGGACCAGAGTTTATGAACCAAGCAACTGGCCAAGGTAAATTTAGGATTCATTTTTGCTTTAACCAGAAACTGGACCCGTAGTAGTGATTCTCCAGGGCAGCGATCGGCAACCTGTGGCTTCGGTGCCGCATGTGGCTCTTTGTTCTGGGTGCTCTGGCTCCCATGAATCAAAGTGGCAAAGAGCAGTTTTTTTTAGAAGCAGTGTGGATTCAAGTAAAGTCTGGGGCCATAAAGCCATATACTTCTCACTAAGTACACATCACAGCAAGTATAAGTTGAGAGTGGTAAAATGGATCGCATATAGGTGATACAAATCTGTCAAAACGATTTTATTTTTATTTTCCAGTTTTTTTCATTTCGTTTTCCAAGAATTTTAACAGCCACTGATATTAGAGGTGATGTGGCGGCTCCTAGTAGGTTTGAGTTTTTGAGAAGGGTGCCAAATGGCTCTTTTTCAATGTAAAAGGTTGCTGACCTGTGCTCTAGTGGCTGTTAGCAAAGGCATTTTCATTTACCACCCTGTACGATAATTTATTTAAAACAAATCAAACTGTGTTTGTTCAATTCTTTCATCCTAATACACTTATTTATTGGTTTTTATTTGCTGGTATCTTAATATTAAAATGGTAAAACATGGATAACCGTAAAACAGGACATGGGGTCAACAAAGTGGTTAGAGTTTTTGGAAGGTAGCCACAGAATATGGAAGCTTGAGAACCACCATATTCATAATTAAATTTTGGGGCTCCCGAAGTATGCGAACCAAGATGGCGGACATCGGAATGTAATATGTGTACTAGGTTAGGGTTAGGCCATAATTTTAGGTATAAATACTACGGGAGGCTCTTGGCTAGTCTTTGAACTGATATTAGGACTAAAATAAGGAAAATTGGAAACAAAATTAACGCTTAACCCTAACCTGTTACCCATGTTACGTTCCGATGTCCGCCATCTTGGTTCGCATACTTCGGGAGCACCGAATTTTGGGTACTCCCATATAATGTCTACTAGGTTAGGGTTAGGCCATAATTTTATTCCGATTTTCCTTATTTTAGTTCTATTACTGCAGGTTTGAGGACTGTCTGTTTTAGCCAAGTGAATATACCCCTGCTCATAGGTTTCAGTCCCTTTACACAACTTGATGTAAAGTAGGCAAACAAAATCAGTTACCTCCATATTGGTACGCACACTTTTGGAGCGCTGAGTTTTGTATGTAAGGAATGAATTTGGGCTTTCTATAATTGGTCTAACGAGTCATCGAACAGTGAATTGTTTTTTTCTCTAATTAAGACAATATCAGTGAATATCTCACACGAAAAAATTTGGGAAAGACTTGTATTTATCTATTCAAAATCATTTATTCAACTCTGAATTTTATTTCCAGGTCAAAGTAAGAAATCTCGTAGACGCAGAAAGAAGAAAACGACATCTAATGAACCAGAACAGACCTCCAGTCCCACCCAGGTAGTTTGGAGATGTTTTCATACAAGAAAATTTTGAAATTTACACTAGGACTTTGTGCCATTTTGACTCAAAAATATTCGAATCGAATACTAAATTCTCCGAATCGGTTCAAAGCAAATTTCTTAATCACCGCATCTTGTCTTTTTCTTCATTCCGCCAATGGTCAAAGTGAATTTCTCAATTTTTTTTATTGAAGTCCTATTTTTTCAATGCGATTCTGACATTCTGAATTCTGAGTTATTGCTGAAAACGTGTTTTATATTGTGTGTGAACTCTCAGCAATTTGTCTGAGTGATGTATTCTGTTTTCAGTAATTTATGTGTCTGAGGAGTGAGAACCCAATACAGTAAGAAACATACATACAATTACCAATCTCACCAAGTAATAGAGATTCCATTCAACAAAAATATTCGATTTAAATCTGGAATCATCCGGTTTTCAAAAATGCCCAGCCTTAATTACACCCATTGCCTAAATGACAAGTAAATGGAATGGTAAATTGAAATATTCGAAAAGTGATCCTATTTCATGTATTTATTCTTATTTAATTTTATACAAAACAACATTTTCATGATAGGAATATATTTTTATTTTCAGCAATCCATCCCTGAAATTGAGACTCCAAAAATTGAAACAACCGAAAAAAAGGATTTGAAATCTGAATTGGTGAGATGTCTGACATGGCTTGTTTTGTTCCTGTTCTCTGCCATAATTTCTTTTGAGCTTGTATTGGGAAAAAATCAGTGTTCACTTCAAATTAGCAATTCTCTTTTGAGTAGATCCTGGAAACATAAATGGATACGAACATGGGGGCAACGTTCCCTCTAAGCTGGCCGAGAATCCCCGCGCAGTACTTCCGTACTGTCGCGCACTGCATTAGTATTGAAATTAGGGATGGGCAATGTAGAATAATTTACTATTCTAGAATATTCTAGAATAGTTAAATCGAATCCAGAATACCGAATCCTATTCTATTTTCATACTTATTCAAATAGTGGGAATTTCTACATTGCTGGATTTAGATGGTAAAAAATTGCAAATGTATTACTTACTATAAATGTATTATCTATTTGGAAATGTCCTGAACATTGGATTTCATTTTATACTAAACAGGCAGTTCCCAGGACAATAAAATTTAGGAATATTACAATATTTTTTGCCTTCAATTGTTCCAAATGTATGTAATCCCTAAATACTAATAAATACTGATATGCTAAATTAAGACACGCTTTACACACTTTAATAGTAAGCGGTTAAATACAAAATAGACATGAAACGGCGTTAAATCAATATTAATGTAAGTCTGCCGAGTATACTAAAACATACCCGCTGAGAATTAATTAGATGCTGAACCAGCATGTGGCCACTGCTAGCAACCTATGCGCCGTTGTAAAATATTAAATTTAACCACTATTAATTAAAATCAACCTTTTATTCTGTGAGAGCAAGACACGTAAAACCAAGTTCCCGTAAAGTTAAACGCGATTTCGTACTTAGTTATTAGGTTATAACATCTGAAGACGAACTCCTTTTCTATGATTATCGTTACATATCATTATCTACCCAGACTTGGCCCTACTCAAATTCAATACGTCACTATCTTCGCCAGATGCGGCAACTTTTTTCAAAATTCATCGGCGACTAAAATACTACAGACTTTCGATCAAACGTGCGTCTATCTTGAACGATAGAAATGTTATTATTAATCATTATCTACCCAGACTTAGCCCTACTCAAATTCAATACGTCACTATCTTCGCCAAATGCGGCAACTTTTTTCAAAATTAACGGCGACTAAAATACTACAGACACTCGATCAATCGTGCGTCTATCTTGAACGATAGAAATGTTATCATTAATCATTATCTACCAAGACTTAGCCCTACTCAAATTCAATATGTCACTATCTTCGCCAGATGCGGCAATTTTTTTCAAAATTTATCGACGACTAAAATACTACAGACACTCGATCAAACGTGCGTCTATCTTGAACGATAGAAACGGACCGAAAAAGATGTAATCTTTTGAGAGTGAAATTTAAATGTGACGGTTGTTCGCGTTTTGCGATATAACTTTGTATTTCGGAAAATGGTATAATAAAATTATTCGTAAATAATATTTGATCTAAATTAATGGCGAGTAATGTTATAACATTTAACGCCTGGCTTTTGGTTTACGTGCATCATTTTTTGGGAAAACTCGTAGGTCACGAAAAATCATTTAATTTAAAATGAGGCAAGGCACGTCTGTAAACAATTAAAGATTGTTGCATTCAGATTATCGGAATATCACCAGTAAGTCGGCACAAATAAAGCTAGCTAGATAGCAAAGGAGGAAAACGCAAAAATGGTGCAATAACGCGTCCTCGGCGCGAGGTTATATTACCGACTTCTTGTCCTGAATATGCCGATTGAAATTACAGTGTTTGATGTTTACCGATTTACGGGTTCTTTGCGAGCAGACGCAAGTTTAATTAAACGAGAGAGATTTCCACGCGAGAAAAACGCTCGTCTGTAATTGATAAATTAGAAACCCGAAATACAAAAATTGACGCTTGGCGCCGGAGGGGCGGAAACCGAATCCTGTTATCGGATCCCGTTGGATTCGAATACTTTGGGATTCGAATCCTCCGGATTCGGTATTCTATATTGCCCATCCCTAATTGAAATGTTTAAAATGTTCTATTTTTTCTAATTTTCCGCGCAGACCTTTTCTTGGAGCTCACATGGCCTTCTATTCCGGGCAACCGAGCAAGCTCTTAGAGGGAATGTTGCATGTGGTCTAATCTACCTAAATTTTGCTGTTTTTTTTTAAATTGCGTTAAAAGTTTTAACGTTTTCGCACACCCAGTTTTATGAAAAATTCGTTAGACTGTAACACAGCTCCACAACCGGGTATATATTTTTTCGGTAGGGTGGCACGCTTTTAAACTTTATTTTAAGTTATGCTCGCCTCCCAGGTATCTCTGCATCTCCAGGTGTCGTTGTTTGTCTGTTTACTTTTTGTGTTGTTTATGTCAAGAGAACCGAAATAATTGATCGATTGATTTTCATGAGAATTCATCTGCAAATCGGCCTGTAGAATTCACCTATTTAAATTTCAACCAAGGGTTAGATTTGCATATACAACAGTCTGTATAAACATCGATATTATTTTGACAGGACACAAAACCTGAATCCCCAGATAAAACAACGGTACAAGATATCAAGGAAAAGACTCTGGAAGAAGCAAAAGAAGGTGGGTATTCTTTTTAGTGCAAAATTTTGGGCTTGGTTGTTTGGACAGCATCCAATTCAACATTTTACCAACCAAATTTTTAAAAAGTCAAAGCAGGCCAGGCTTAGTTTCTCGCAACTTTCGTTCCCTCAGTGAAATTGTGCGCAACAAATTTTCTGTATGTTATTTGTATTTGATATTTTTAGATTGGTCCGTGCCAAAAGCTTCGAAGAAAAGAAAAAGCAAAGCAAGAAAAGCCGACTAGACAGACCTGCTCTAAAGACATGATTATTAGCTACCTAGGAATCCCAATAAATTTTGCGATAAAAAAATTGTAGGCAATCGTTTTGAAATATTTTTAGTTCATGAATTTGTGGTTTTTTGATTGAGAAAAGACAAAACAGAACATAGGATGCCTAACTGGTAAAAAGCAAACTATATTAGTTTTTGGAAACCCGCTTTGTTTGATTGTAACCATTTGTCATTTATTTGCCATGAGTTTGTCTTATAACCAGGGCTGCCATTAATATGAACCCCAAAATAAGGACATCAGGAAAACATACCAATAAGATAACAAAGAACGAAATGTGATAAACAAAATGTTCCCATGTCTGTGCGACCAATGTCTAATCATACTTTGCACTAGAAAGGATTTTTTCTAGCAGTTCTTTATTCTTAGGAACGAAATCAGTAAGCAGTCTACTGCTATACACTTGTCAAATCAATCGGATCTTAAATAATTTTACTTATCAGCTGCAAAGCTCTCAATAACTACTGTTTTTTGATTCAAGTTACATGAACAGGTTTTTGTCGGTAGGCTATTGTTTTGTCATTATGGCATTTCATTTGCCCAGTATAACCTCTACATGTAATATAAAACATAAATAAGGACATGTGTCGAAATAAGCACAAATCTTAGAAATAAGGGCATTATGGCAGCCCTGCTTATAACTAACAGCGATGGTATTAATAAGTAAAATATTTAATATAGTATAGCTTTTGATCAGTGAAATACCCATAGTTTGATTTCTGACTATTTGGGCATTTATTTAAATTATTTCCCATGCATATGTCTGGCAGCGACCGTATAAGTTAAGAATATCGACGATAAGTTTGTGAAATACAGTATTGTTAACTTTTATCCAATTGTGCACTCATAACAAGTAATTCTGAAGCAACCAGTCATTTTTGGATACCTTGTTATTGCATGAATTTGAAACTATTTTCTGAAAAAGCCAAGCGAGTTAACATATTTGACTTTGTTTCTCCAGAATGTTTTTGATTGGCTTATGCCTGTTTATGTTTAAATAGATTGGTATATTCTGATCAATTAATTATGTTAGGTAAAAGCAGAAAATATAGTCTATTTATTACTAGTTTTTCTGATCGGTAAACTGTTGTTATATTTGACTAATCTCGGTCTTTTTCATACTTGACTGTTTCTAGAATAGTGTTCACATATTTAAAGTTTCTATGTAAATTCTAAATTTCTTTGGTAGCTATCTCATGTTCTGTCCTGTATCAAGTTTACACGATGATGTCCCTTTCCAGTCAGAATTCCAGAGGTAGCATTTTCCTTGAAGTACTACTTTTACACGATTTTATTGGGCTCCAGTTAGATTCGATTTTTTGTATGTTTATATTTTTGAAAAATTAAATTGTAATGTCTCTGTTTCCAAAATCCTACAACGACAGTTCCGATGTCTCAATCTGCAGCAAAACAATTCTGCAATATGACAACCTGCATCTCCAAATTGCACTGATGCAAATTATTTTTGAAGTTTTGTCTGTATTAGTATGAGGTAGTCATTGGTTCTCACCCTTTTATATCTTGTGACCCCTTTCTGGAGGCGTTTAGCACTCATGGTCCCCAGTGGTAGTTACTTTGATTGGTAGATTTCAAATCCCATTGTACTCAACAAAGTGAAAACACTCTGTGGGATAACTTTATCAAGCAATGAAACTAGGGAGAACTGGGAGTTTTCTCGTAAAGGGAAAAGTAAAATCAGTACCTAGCATTGTGTCCCCCATCGAACTGCTTATGTTGACCAAAGGTTGGAAACCGTTTAGTTTGAAGAGAAGTCAATCACTGAGTTAAGTCTCACTGGCATTAGTTGATGTCCAATCAAAGTCACTTTGATAAATGGTGTTTTGAGTCCAACTCTTGTTAATTCAATTAATCAAATCCCCAAACAGGGTGTTGCGAGTTAACGGAGTCTCAAATTGGTTTAAAATCAAGTCGATCAACGAGTCCAGTCTTGTGATTAGTTGATGACGAGTTGTTCCAGGTCATTCAGTTTAGATGAATGGAGTACTTCAAGTCTTTGATAAATGATGTCAGACTTCAGTCCAAATCTAGTCAAGTCTCAATAACGGTCATATCGAATCGATCAAAATAACACTATAAATACCACTGGAGTAATAAACGGGGGGGGGGGGGGGGGGGGACATGAGTGCTAAAAGCGTCCGGAAGGAAGCCACGACATAAGAAATGTTGGGAACAATTGGACTGGAGTCATTAATGATGATGTTTTGAGCCTCCCTGGTGTTGTTATCTATAGGATATAAAATTAACGATCGATTACACACATTTTTCCCCTCTCAAAATTTTTTTTTCAATTAGTGGAATTGTGGTTCATTTCAATGACTTGCTACCTCTGGTATTCTGGCATATATCTCTATAAATATTGTGATTTGATCATTTAGCAAGAATCAAAGAGTCTACACAATTGGTCCTATTGCGGCTGTTGTTGTTATTAGATGATTATATCTTTAAGGCAAGATATTTGAGAGGACTTAGTGTGCAACATAATCTGGAGCACTTGCTTTTGTATCTGTGATATTCGCTACCTCAGATAAAAACAATTCTAAAAACCAAAAGGCATGCTTTTTTATTTGTCTGTCAACATACTTAGTTTGAGTTCCTGAGAATCTGAAATCTCAATGAATTTGAAATTTAGACTCTGGGGAGTTCTTAGATAAGACTTCGACATCCCAAAAAACATGTCCATGCTTTCGAAAACAAATAACTGGCAACTGAATCCCACACCTGACATAGACTTGTATGTAAATCCCATCCTAACATGACAACCTATCCTAAATATCAACCTAAAATTGGAAGATTACTGCTAAGCTTTCTGATTCTTCCTGAATGACCATTTCACAATCTAGTCTTAAATATCTATTGATAAATAATTTTCTTTTCATATAATTATGTAAACTGGAGTAATGTATTTTTCTACAAACGATTTACACAGAATGTAGAAGCCCAGAGCAAAATATTGAATGAATTTTTGTAAAATTTTCCATTTTTGGAAGGTAGGGAATACAAGTTGAATGGATTATACAGGATGTCCATAAAGTCATTTTACAATTTCAATTTTGTCATAAAATCAATTCTCAATATATCTTAACCAGGTTTGTTGTTAATCAGTAATTGTTTAAGTATTTTTAATTCGTTTAATACATCTGTGAGGGCTAAAACAATATATGGTATCGATAAACCTTTTGCAATTCTAAGGCTTTATGGACACTCTATATATGAAACAACTTGACAAGTTATTGTAACAATCTCTTGTGTTCCAAAATCTAAAAAAAAATGAAATATCTCTAGAAATTTTGCAAAATTGTTTGGGAAAGATATTTTGCTTTGGTGCTATAGTCGAATTGCTTTGGTTGAAATAAGTTTCATACAAATATAATTGGTTGGAACGAAAGCTTGTTTTTGTCAATGGCTCTTTGGGAACAGGTAGAAATGTGGGAGTATGATTTGAGATTCAAATGTTATCTGTCGTGCATTTGATTCAAGAGTGGACGAAATAAGTACAGACTTCTATATTACTTAGTCTTTGCTACATCCTCATAAGCGTCCATTTGGGTGAAGGCATAAGGCATTTCCTCTCGCTTAATCCCAACTGATAATTCCATCTATAGTGGTTAGGAAACTGTGTGAAACGGTGATAATGACAGAGTCTATTCCTTCAGGGATCTATCAATCAGTCCGTGGGTAAAAGTGCACAGGCATTTACAGAAAATTTATACTAACTCTTCAGATTATTAATGGTCGTTGGGAATCCTACAAAAAAAAGCTGGTCAGCCATACTGAAGATAATTTACTTTATTTTCCACTTATGAGGAATTTATATTTCTAATCTTTTTTAATCCTGTTAACATATCAAAGTCTGACATCTTAGCTGATGTTGGAGTGTCAGTTTAAAGATGCGGTTGTTGGGAACAGTCTGAATTTGTATCAAACTGAAGTTTGGATTTGGGGTATCCAAAGCAATAAAAAATTCTGAATTTAAACAGAGTGTGGCTGGGAAGTCCTAAAAATTTTGTATCCTAAGACCAAGTCACAGAGTGCCTGTTTCTGTCCCATGATAAATCTGTTTCAGCAAAAGGCAATTTCTGGTGTAAACCTATTAGGGCTGTGTAGCATTCTATTGTGGCATTGGGTCATCATCAAACTTCCAAGATCAAGACACTGGAGAAAAAATTTAGTCAACCAAGGGTTTCAGACATTGTTAAAACAGGAGTCGCTAGAAATTCATATCACTTCTAGTGTCATTGCATAACAAATTGTTTTTCCTAGATGTCACACGAGCTGGAACAATTTTAAAGCTGATTACACACTGCCTCAAATCATTTACTAAATTGCACTCTGGTAAGTTAGATTCAACTCTCACTCCACTGTGGGCATGTATGTCTGATATAGTGTGCAAACATGGATACAGCAATAAGATCGCACCTATTTACCCATTTTTAAATCGGCAGTCACAACTGCCACGAGGGTACCAGATTTAGGGTTAATTTCATAAGTGTCAGTGGGCGGTAGGTGCTTATCCACTAGGCATCTGCGACATGTTCTGCTTAGTTCATGAACATCCTAATAAAACTAGGCTACAGCAATATCACCAATGACTAAAGTATCTTGATATAGTACGTTTACATGTATACAGCAATAAGATCAACCAATTTATAATCTGCAGGCATAACTGCAACGAGTTTGTTTATTAATATCAGAGTTCCGACACTTTCGTAAGTGTCAGTGGTTGGCAGGGGGTTCTCTACTGGGCATCTGCGTTGAAACTAACACTGCCTGACAGAACCAATCTTAGATAAGAAACCGGCAAATTTTATCTATTAATTTATTATTCACACAAACTCCTAAAATATTGTAAATGAAACAAATCTTTTCTTTTTGATGAAAACCTGAAAAATAAAAAGGAAATCTTAAAGTCGCATAATTCAAATTTCTAATTAAAAACAAAAAACTAGATAGCAATCAGAGACCACCGACTTATCGATCTTTCGCATGTTCAATATTTTAAGATGAGGGATCCCCCAAAACAGAAGTTCAGATTCTCTGACTCATTAGCGACACCGCGTGTCCCATCACCAGTGTTAACTCTAAGCAAATTATGAGTGCGAAAGTGCTTCGCAGTCGAAAAAAAAAGTGCGAAAGTGCTTTTGCCGATTTTAACAAGTTAGGTGCCCTAGCCTTTCATATAACCCATTTAAAACGGCATAGATACTCAAAAAAGCGCTCCTCCGGTTAATATTATGAATTAAAGAGAAGCCTTTTCGTTAACCAGTTCCCTTTAAGCGAATTCATGTTTAATTAAAACGAGCGAATTCATCGGCAACGAAATGACATCTGCTAACACCTGCCGGGACAAAACTTTCATGCAATGTATCATGGTGTCAGTTGCTTACTCCCGTAAACAGCAAAGACTTTCACATTTGTTACTCCTTCCATCTAACAGACACGAGGCAGGCTGTAAACCATATTAGTTACAGGGTGGATCGTTTGTACAAATCCCGTGCAAAATAATCCCCCCCCCCCCCAAATATAAATAGCAATCAACTAATTAGGGTTAGATGCGCTGGAAATTCAACTTTTCGATTTATCCCTAAAGCTAATCTGATAATTATTAATTTGTGATTTTAAACCACTTTGAAAGTCGCCACCCGCTGTTTAAAAAGGTAACTTAACCTACGTTCCCTCCGAAATATTAAGCAGGATACTCCCCTGTTTTAGGAGATAGGTTGACCTACTTTCCTTTCAAACCTTTTTCTCCGAAATATTACACAAGATCACTTTGAAAATCCTCCCGTTTCGTGAGCTAGCATGACCTAATTTCTCATTTACATTTATATTATACTATTTCAGAGCTTACCCAAAGACAAGTAATTTTTAAATGTCGACATGCCTTGGTTTGGGTGCGAGTTTAAATCGGGCAGAAAACTTCATATATTGGCAAAATGTTTAGTAATGTCATGTACTTTCAGCATTCATAAATAGCACTCTTTGTAATGCTTGCTGACCTAGTATCAAATATTCGCATCACAACGCCACTTGCTCCATATATTTCAATTACACTAATAGGAAGGATGACACCAAAGAGTTTTCTTTTGCGAAGGTACACTAAATATAACGAGGGTGATTCTTGAGAAAAACATGAATATAAAAAATAAACGAATGATATGATAGTGGATCCCAAATAATTTTGAGAGTGTCTCGAAATACCAATCCATTTGATAAATAATTTTCATGACCACATGAACGCTGATATCATGAAAATTGATGTTGAAAGAGAATTACGCATTCTCAGATATCGGACATCCAGTCGCGATATTCAATCCTTCATATGCACAAATCTCACATTAATAGTAATTGCTACCCAAGTTTGTAAAGTTTAGAAACCAACAAACAGAAAATAACTTATCCTAAAACACAATTAAAATTTAGTCGGCAATAAATTTGTCGCCAAGACGATGCCATACAAAACAAAAAAGATTTGGTCGCGAGAGTTACGTGAGATGACTGCCGTTGTTTTTTAAGCAGAATGTAAAAAAATTTATAATTAATAAACGGGAGTTACGACGCCCTTTACACATCGTGTGTATTAAACTTCCCTGGTAAGTACTTTGGTAAGTACTATTATTATTGTACTTATACACCTGTTGGAGTATTTCGGACAATTTCGAATTTAAAATAAATGAAAACCCGACATATAATAAAGACGCAAAAGTAAAATGAACATTTATTGAAAAAGTTATTATTTAAGAAAGACAACATGATCGTACAATTCCGCCAAAACCTCGATGTTCGCAAGTGAAATGATAAATAAATACTTCCCTGTATTCGATCAATTAACTTTAGCGTATCGTTGTTCTGCCAACAAACAGCCGGGTGCAAAATATTTCCGTCCCGTGATATGCTCAAAAATATTCTCGATATTAATATCATACCTTCGCGTATGTACTTTCTATTAGCTCTTTAGTGATCCCTTCCATCCTTGGCCAAGTCATGTTTCGAATATGTGAACATTTTATTCGACCATACGTGGCCGGCGGGATGTTAAAATTGTAAACAAGAGAGAGGTAAAATCAATCGCGAATTTCGTGATAACAGCTCGTTTACGAATTGTTGCGCCTGTTATCGTCGAAAATGATTACATTTGTTGTATATTGAGGCATTTAAGCAGTAATAATTAGGGCATGACATCATCAAAATCGTCAAGTGAGATCTTAAAATTATATGGTCGCAATTGGTCTGGCGCGTTTATTAATAGAGTAAAATAAATTAAACGAATATCAGTTATAGCCAAGCCTGTCAGCGTGTTTATTTTCTGTTGGCAGGAATCGTAAAATACCATCTTGAGACAAATTCACTTCTATTATAAAATCTTAATTTTCAGTTATTATCGTTATACAAATAACGTGTGGCAACTTTTTAATTTATCGTCGACCAAAAAACCGCCCCACACTCGTCCAAACGTGTGTCGAGCTTGAACGACAGGAACAGATTCATCGACGACCTTAATTAGGGAAAATATGTATTTTATTGGGAATGCAAAATAAATGTAACGAAACGCATTTTTTTTGTGATATAACTTTGTATTTTCGGAAACGGGTTGCCGTGAAAGGTAAAATTTGATCTAAATTAATCGCAAAAATGTTTTATTTTAAATGTAACAAAACACATTTTGCGATATAACCTTGTATTTTCGAAAACGGGTGTCCTGAAAAGTAAAATATGATCTAAATTAATCGCAAAAATGTTTTATTTTAAATGTAACAAAACGCATTTTCGCGATATAACCTTGTATTTTCGGAAATGGGTGTCCTGAAAAGTAAAATATGATCTCAATTAATCGCAAAAATGTTTTATTTTAAATGTAACAAAACACATTTTTCGAGATACAACTGTATTTTCGGATACCGGGTGTCATGAAGAGTAAAATATGATCTGAATTAACCGTAAATAATGTTTCATTCCAAATGTATCATAACGCATTTTTTGAGATATAACTTTGTATTTTCGAAAACGGGGCGTCACGAAAACTATTAATCTAATGTTTTATCTATCATCTAACTAACGTCTGGAACAAATAATTTTCGGGGAGAACTCTAGCCCGCGAAACGTCATTTTATTTAAAATAGAGAATGTTTCACGCATTTCAAAACTGAAAATCACCAGTAAGTGGACAGGGATTCAACCCTCCGGATTCAGTATTCTATATCCCCCCTGTCAGAACTTTCTGAAGAATGGAACAAAGAACCCGTCAAACCGCCGCGGAAGAAGGAGAGTATTTTTTGCACTAATAATTAGGGCGTGACAATATCAAAATCGTCAAGAAACTGGTGAATTTGCAAATTCCATAAATAAAATTGTGAATTGCTCGGTAACATTTTAGCTATAATTATCGCC